TGGGTCTCTGTAAATAACTGTACGTATGGTGTAGACCTGCTCTATTTGAAGTGTGTCCTGAGATAACTTTTGTTATGAACTGCCGCTATACAAATAAAATTGAACTGAATTGTATCTAGAGCCAGTGTTTGGTTTTTCCGTTCTGGGCTCCCTTTGTAGATAAAACGTCAGGTAAGAAAAAGGTAACAAAAACACAGATTCTTATTTTCAGGTTATTATACACTAATGAAAACATACCTATGAATATTATATTCCTAGCAGTCAATCCTAAATTAAATATGGATCTTAATCCCAGATCAAATGCACATTGCAGGACTTTCAATATTGTCTGCTGTGTTTTTAAGTTAAATATAGGCCTATTTATTTTTGTTTCTTGTTTGTGTCTTTTCTGTGTTGTTGCAAATGAACCTGCTGTGATGCAGGAAAAACTTGATTTGACAAAGTATCATCATCATCATCATTATCATCATAAGAACAATTCAAGCAAATAAGAGGAAATGTCTTTGTATATCACGTACTGCATGAGGCCCAATGTATCATTTCTTTCCCCTTGGTACAGAACAAATGAACCTAACATTTGTGACTTGTAGTAATATTTACTTCTGAACAGTATCAAAACTCAAAAGGTTCTGCCGAAAAAAATCTTTCATTAAGTGCTCACAAATTCCACACACGTAAAACTATTTCATCATATTATGTCATTTTATTCCAAAACTTTTGAACAAACAGCACTATAATGCAAAACAAAACCCCAAAAAGCGTAATAGATAGAATCCCCTGATGGTAGTGGCTAAATCATTGTCACCTTATTGGGGAACAAATGTGCAGTTTTTGTGTACGTGATTCTTCTTCCAACTGGAGGATTAAAGAACCAGTTAAGAGAGATTTGAACAGATGAATTTGATGTATTTGTTAAATTTCTTCAGCTCAAGCATTCCTGTCAGATCAAACATCTCAAGTCACCCTTTGAATACACAGAAAGGGGAAAAAGATAAAGGCAGTATCTGTAAAAGACTCAAGTTTCCCGCTTTTCATAATCCTTCAGTTCAACCAAATGCCACATTTGTTCCGGTTTTCAATTTCAGACATAAGACCCTGGGTGATGTTAATATTTTACATCAGAATTGATCAAACTATATACATTATTTTACAAACATTTCAAATAAGCTCAGAATAGCTTAAGACTGCTATTTTAGGCCATTCAGAATACAGGAAAGACAAAAAGAAAAAAATACAATCATTCAAAAGCAAATGTTCTGAACAATTTTCTGTGATACATGACAATGACAATTACAGATGAATAATGTGAACTGTTACTGTTACAGTTAACCTTTCAAAAAGCCAAAGTCCAGCTTAAGCTTGCATTTTATTAGATATGTTCAGCCCTTTAAACTGCACAGTGATAAAGATCAGCAACTGTGTTAGGTCTTATTGTACAGATGACTGGATTAATGTGGTGATATAAGGATGTTTCCTGAAGCGGTACTATCAGACAAGACGAAGATGTAATTGTAGAATTGTAGAAGGAAACATATGGTATCCCATTTTTGCCAATGTGTTGAAAAAAAGGATCCTGTAAGTCACTATAATGAGAAACTTTCCGAAAATAATGACTTAGTATCTCAAATTATGAGAAACGTTATCTAAATAATGATTAGTATCATAAAATAATGAGAAACTTTCTCAATATTCTGACTTAGTATCTCAAAATAATTAGAAACTTTGAATATTTTGATTTATTATCTCAAAAATCATTACATAGGTGGAAATGGGCTGCCATATAAATATGATCCTTACCACCGCAGGAACTTCTTTGGGGACAAATTCCTGGAACTAAATCTGGGCTCTGCTCAGGAGGTGATACTAACAGGAAGTTCTAGGTACAATACAATACAATACTGGGCTGATCTACAGTACTCATTGGTCGGATTCCTACATTTGCTGCCATCTACTGGTCTGTATTCTTTCACACAGAGCTTTAAATAATGTTTTTAATAACACTCCATTCATGCATAACAAAAAGTTATTCAGTATATCAACACAATGAGTAAACAATCAAATAAAATAATGCATTTAAAGCTGCATTAGGACACTTTTATGAAAATTACTTTTTGTCGTATTTGCTGAAACTTTCACTATATCCCGACAGTAGAACACGAGACAGTTAATCTGTGAAAAAATCTGGTTCCTCTGGCTCTTCCTAGTATTTGCAGAATGCCATTCCCAACGCTTTCGGTCCTAAAGCTTCAAGCAGCCAACCCAAAGTGTCGGTATTCGACTCCCTGGGAATGAGACTCAACAATCAAGCCAGAGAAACCAGATTTTTTCACAGATTATCTGTCTCATGTACTACTGTCAGAATAAAGGGATAGCTTCATCTTATAAAGGTTACCTACTGCAGCTTTAATTTTTTTTTTAGTATGATGCCATCTGAAAGATATTAGGATATAAATGCGATGAGCATTTTTCACAAATTTCTGACATTTCATACATGATACTATTAAAAAAATAATTTCAGTATTCAGTTTCAGGGCCTGTAGCCTGAATTCTGTCATTGGGACACATTTCAAGTTTTTACTTTTAGAAAATCAAAAAGTACTTGCAGTGTAATTACTGAATAGCATCCCCATTGGGAGGCTGGGACAAGTGCTTGAAAATTGGAACTCTTTTGGGTGTTTGTTATCTTGATTCTGCCCGCATCGAGATTGGATCTTGATATGCAAATTCAATAGGCTGTCAACAAACAACAACTCCGGCCAAGAGAAATGATGGGGAATACTCTATGAAGGACCGCTACATACAAAGCAAGGGTCCTGTGACAGATAAAGACATCTGCAGGCTTACTACCTAGGCTAATGTTACTTATACTGTATAAAGGTCAGCCAAGTGCTTCTCATCTTATTTTTCATTGTAGTGGTCCCTCGAGGGTCTCCTGAAGCATTGTTTAATTTGCTGGCTAAGATCTAATCACAGTGCAAGTTAGCCCTCCAGATGAGTTCAGGCCTATCCAAAAGCATTCAGACTGTGATGTGTTCTGCTTGCATTTACCCTTCCACTAAGGTGTTCTACCTAGTCCACATGAGATATCCGAATACAGATTACATGTTAATACAAGGTAGGAAACAGGCTCACAATAAACATGGGGCCCCTGGGGCAGTTGCTCGGTTACAAATCCAGCACTGGTTCTACTGTCCTGATCAAATACTACCCACACCTTTGTTGATAACTGAAAATTAACTGCAATGGCTGAGCAAGATGGATTAAGTAATCATCAAGTGCTACTCTATGGAAGAACATCCAGCTTAGAAGACCTTTTGTAAATGGTGCAAAGGATCATGATGTATTAGGATATTTATGAATTATGTTTTTAACTGTCTTCTATTATTCTGCAGGGTGTGCTGATTAATTGAAAAGGAAATGATCTCAAGTTAGTGGGAAATCAAAAATGGAATATGGAATATTGATACGATCAGAAGGTGCTCAGCTAGGAACCTCTTGGATTTAACAATTTAAGCTACGCTGATAAAAATAGTCTTTAAATGGAACTGGTACCTTTGGTTAACTCAAATACTAATCCAACACGGACTGACTGCATTTGATGTTATTGTGATGTGCAAACATCAAAAACACTGTCAGCAGCTAGATTCTACTACTTACGAAAAATCTAATCTTTGATATAACTGCTAATATTCCATCAAATTAGCAATTTTCTAATACTGTTGTTACAAAAATAGATTTGATTGGTATTGAATGTTATATGCTAACATCATAAAGGCTTCTGTATGCTTGAAACAAAGTACTCGGATCATTTAACAGCAGCTGAAACCACCATCCAGACAGGGCTGCGTCCGATGATTTTTGTATCTTTCCAAATCAGACAATACTGGAGTCTTGGCCACCTTTATGCAGCGACTGGCGATTTGTCGCAATAAGACTACAAGACAGGCAAAAGACGCAGAGTTCTTGGACAGAGATCTGGAAGGCAGTCAGAAGGAGGCTATGACAGGAGGCTTTTCAGGCTGCCTTCGAGTGTGGCCATTTGGGGACAGGTAGAAACACTTTTGTCATTAGTAGTGGTGAGACACTTTGTACGAACTGCTTCATTCGAAGCATACTTAGGCCTAATCTCCCAAACATGTGGAATGACTTTCAAAGACTTAATCGCAGTTTACAAATTGTTGTAAAAAAAGAACAGCTGTACCTCAACACTAACCTCCAAAGTCTCATATACCCACTTAGTTAAAAAAGAAGTCGTGATACATATAAGTCAAAGTATAACAGCAAGAAAACGAGTAAAGTATGTTGTGGGTATAAAGTGTGCCTGTTTATGGAACATCTAGTGCTGGAGCTGCAAGCTGGAGTACTTGGTCTCTGTGCCATCATTCACTGTCCAGCTCCTTGTGGTCTGAGGACAGACTCTCTCTGGCTGGCAGGAGGTCGTAGTGACAGGGGATGTGGCTGTTTTTTGGTAGATCGTATGGATCCTGACCAAACTGAACGTGGCCATTGCTGTGTTCAGTTGGCTGGATGGTGCTCACGGTTGGCTCTGAAAGCAAAGACAGCCGAGTTGGTAGTTACAGGAGGAACACACATTCTGGAGAAAAATGGTTACTTATTGAGTCTCGTTCCTAGGATGTCAAATACAGACATGTAGGCACCCCAAAGCATCTGTATTATACTGTAATTGAAAATTTGACCTAGTGCCCACCCCTAATTTGACAGAGCAGTAGAATGACAATGATTAAATACCAAATATAAGCTCCTCACCAACTTCATAGACATTCCGGTTAGTGGTCGGGCTACTGTTACTGATCTCAGCGTACGGTGAATCGCGTCTGGCCGGTGATTTCATTTCCACGTAGCCACACTCAGTGTTTTTGGCTGTGAGCAGGGGGGGGTCCTTTATCGTAGCATATGGATTTTCAGAACTGTTGAGGGAACAGGAGCTGGCGTGATAGAGTGTGCCCTTCACCAGATCTGGATCACACGGACAGAGGGAGCCAGTGAGTGGGGAATGCCAGCAATTAACTGAGCAGTTCAGCATTTATTTTTATAATTCTAGGATTTACCACGTAAAGATTTCCCCATGTATCTTCTGTCAACTCCATAAGCTCCTGGTGTGAAGAAAAATAAAAGGAAGGGCAGTGAATGGTAGAAGCAAAAATTATGCAAGAGACCATTATCAACACTTATAGAGAGATCTATAGTGGGATGGGGGGGATAGAGGCTCACTATGATTTAAAGCCAACAATACACAAAGATTAGAGCATAATCCTGCCATCTGAGTACACTAGAATGCATTCAATGTGTCACCTAGTTCATTGAAGCAGTCCCCTTGTTTCCAGTCTGCAGGTAGTGTGCCAGTGTGTTCAGCTAGAGGAGCCCTCTTCCTCTGATCCACATTCTTCAAGTTGACAAACAGCTGGTTGCTCTTGGCCTGAAAAATAAAATAAACACATCAGTTAGAATATTTATTAACATACACATTCCATACTGTCATGTCTTATAACCACCTCAGTAGGGTCTGAAAAGGTCCGCTTCCATACCTTTCCATATGGACCATTGTTAACATGTGGGGGGCTGATGCACTGGGTCAGAGTATGATAGCTGGGGTTGGAGAAGTAGTTGCTGGGGTGACCCTCACAAGTTGGTGGATGAGCATCTGAAAAATGACAAGGTGACAGGAACTCTAACCAGGATGCACTAAATGACCAGTTCATTAGTGCTTTCAGAGCATGAGACTAAATCACACTATAATCAGAATCAGCTTTATTGTACAGTATGTACATGTGAACATGTACATACTCATACACTCCAGCTTTAAAGGTCCAGTGTGTAGAATATAATGGCATCTAGTGGAGAAGTTGCAGAGTGCAACCGTCTGAATACAGTGCAGCCTTCCTACCTTGTGTCGGAGAAACTACAGCGGCCAAAAAACGTCCCATTCTTAGGTAACAGAACAATTCTTATTTTCAGGTGATTATAAACAAAT